GAGCATCTTGATTGCTTACTGCCTCAAACAAATCTTATGTTCTCCCAGTGAACTTAATTGATGGTGTCAAGTCATCTTTATTTATATATATATCGCTTTATGCAATACAGATTGTTTCAAAGCAGCTTCACAGACAGTAACAAACAGGAAAATAGCAGAATCAATGACACAAACTTCCTCAAATATGAGACAAATCTAAATTCTACAGTAAAGCAGCTTTAAAAAGAAAATAGTGTCATTATTCAGCTTAAGACAGTTCATTGTTGATTCAGTTCAGTTTAATAATAGTGTCGATGTTGTACAGTTCATTATTTATAAAAACATTGTGTTTGATCAACAGAGACTCTTCTCAGTACTCTGCGGTATGTGCATACAAAATTGAAGACATCCAGACTGTGTTCTCAAAGGGCAAGTTTAAGGCTCCTGTTCCCGTTGAAACGTCGTTCGTAAAGTGGCTGATGTACTCGGGCGATGTCCCTGATCCCCGACCCGGAGCAGTGAGTCTTCTGTTCAGTAACTCTGTTCAGCACTCGTTCAATAATACTGATTGCCAGAGTTCACTAACCTTCACTTTGTTTTCAATTGCAGTGCATTGATAATCATGCCAGAGAAATGGGTTTCACCAAATCTCTGGATCTCCCAGACAAAACCTTGCAGTTTATTAAAGACAAGCCTCTGATGGACCAGGCCGTCAAGGCCAGTGGAGAGAAACCCCTGCTGGTGAAAAGAGGCACTGCTTTCACTAGAATTGTGGTGGCCACAGCAATGGCCTTGAACAGGACCAGCCATCAAGTCATGTTCATCGGCACAAGTAAAGATGCCTTTATGTAAATCTGTAGTGTTTATAATCAGTAAACCCTCCAAAAGTATATATAATATTTTCAGCTAAGTATGTTTAACTGAAATTGTTGTCTTGTCTTCTGCATTGTATTGTGTTCTGTTATGTATCAGAGAGCGGCTCAGTGCTGAAAGCTGTGAATTATGACGGCGAGATGGTCATTATGGAAGAGATTCAGCTATTTGAGCCCTCAGAGCCAGTGAAGATACTGCGACTTTCCAACACCAAGGTAATAATAAGCAGATGCATTTATTGATGTTTATTGCTCACTTAGCAACAACATGAGCTGTGTGTGTCTGTTTTGTTTCAGCAAAGCTCATTTTATTCCTGTAACTCAAATGTCAAAGTTTAAATAGCAGTTAACATTAATTTTCTGTATACATTACCATTCAAGTAACTGTTTTCTATTTGTATTCTATTATAAATGTAATTTATGATGCAAAGCTGAATTTTCAGCATCATTACTCCAGTCTTCAGTGTCACATGATCCTTCAGAAATCATTCTAATATGCTGATTTGAAGCACAAGAAACATTTCTTCTTATTATCAATGTTGAAAACAGGTGTGCTACTTAATTTTCTATGGAAACGTGGATACAGAAAGTAATAAAAAAACAAATATTCAATTTAATGCATCCTTGCAGAATAGAACTATTAATTCAAAAAGATCTACTGACCCCAAACTTTTTAGCAGTAGTGTATCTCCACTGTGCAGTTTTATAGGAATATTTAATATACATTCAGCTGAAGCAAGAGTCAAAATTATTGCAATCTCTATTGTCTGTAGAGATGTTATGTTAAGTTATGTGTGATGTCATGCCAACAACAGCTGTACGTGGGTTCGGAGGTGGGCGTGGTTCAGCTGTCCATCAGTGAATGTGGGCGGTACCACACGTGTCTGGACTGTGTTCTGGCCAGGGATCCGTACTGTGGCTGGGACCTCAATGCTGACCAGTGCTCTGCCATAAACAGCACACACAGAACCAGAACCAGGTGAAAAGACAAATAAATATATGTACACAAAATAAAATAATAAATGTTAAACCTCAAAATCAAGAGAAATTATATCTTGCTTAAAGAAAATGAAGCCTGATCATTTTAATACAATTAAAATTATTTGCATTTCCACATTATTTTAATGAGAATTAAACTCATTTGTCATGCAAAAAATAGCATTGTTTTACTGCAATAAAATAAAAATCTATTATTTATATTATTTAAGTAGTAAATTAGGAATACATCATGGTCTATTGCTTTATTGTCTGTATTGTATTAAGCTTTACATCATAAATTAGTGAGAATTACCGGTCACACTTTAGTTTGGGGACCACTTCTCACTATTAACTAACCATAAACTACGTCTTTTGCCTCAATAAACTCCTAATTTGCTGCTCATTAATAGTTAGTAAGGTATTTGTTAAGTTTAGGTATGGGGTAGGATTAAGGGATCTAAAATATGGTCATGCAAAATAAGGCAATAGTATGTGCTTTATAAGTACACATTTTTTACCCTAACCCTAAACAGCCAATATGCCAGTAATATGCATGCTAATAAGCAACTAGTTAACAGTGAGAATTGGTCCCTCAACTAAAGTGTTACCGAATTATCATTTGATGTTTTTGCAATTCAACTTATTCTCAAAAGTAACATATCTGCACACTTTATGGTAATGGAAATTTCACAGGAAAATGTTTAACTGTCATAAAAAATGTATGCAAACTTTTGATGTTTGTGCACACCATTATGAAAATAGATATTGACATATTGCTGATTGCTGTATTATTATTTCTTCCACAGCACCATGATTCAGAGTTTGAGTGATGGTGATGCCAGTCGATGTCCACAAACGGGTATTTGCATTATATCCCAGAGTCGTCATACTGTATGTTCTGGTAGAAACACTAAAAGTTACATCTAGACCTTGTGTTACAGATAACAGTAAGTCAGTCAGCGTCTCGTTTTTCCACGACAATACTGTGAAGCTGTGGTGCCAGCCTTATTCCAACCTGGCTCAGGTCCAGTGGCAGCTGAACGGACAACCCATCAAAGCATCAAACACCTTCCAGATCCTCTCCGACAGCCTGATGATCTTCAACGCCTCCGCAGACGCCAGCGGCCGCTACACCTGCAGTTCTGTAGAGCGGAATTACAAAACCCAGCATGTAGCGTATGATCTAAAAATGTGGTCAGCATCCGGGACTGGAGCATTACTACACGACGTTAAGGAAAAAGAAAACACACTTGTGGCCATGGTGGTGGTATTGTCACTAATTCTAGCTATGCTAGTCATTTGGAACCTGTGCAAAGGGCATTTACCTTTGCCGTTTTGCCACAGGAGGGTAAAGGACACAGCGAACAGGTGCGAACAAAGTCTGTATGAGAACCAGCCTCCAGAACATAAACTAGCATCATCAACGGAGAACTTGAACAGCAACAACAACCATGTAAACGACCAGAGGTTTTCCAGCTCTCAACTCTCACCCACTGTTGGTTCCTCAGGTCAGATCTCACTGAAATACAGAGACGATGAATCTGAGATTTGAGATTGTTTTTATGCACAGACTTGCTAATGTGGCTAATCGTCATTTATTTGCAGACCAAGCCCACTGGTGCTGGTTCCTCTTTTGCAGCTGTTAACTTTTCACTAAACCGCTGTTTTGACCAACTTTTTCTCCTTGATGAATCTATACATTCACTTCCAAATGCCATCATTCAACCATCATACGCCAACATGTCCAACGGACAAAAAAAGACACTGAATCAGACTTTTCTGCATAAGGTCTGTCTACATTGCAGCTTACTTTGGCCAAGGATCACCAAAGTACTTTTCAATGACAGTCAAATCACTTGGTGGCCATATTTGCAATGCCACTGGGCAGCTATTTCAGTCATGCAAAAACAACTCCTATCTGCCTGATTGGGGAAATAGTGAAATCTTAAGAACTGCTTGACAATATTTCAAAATTCTAACATGAACTGCCTCATAAATGCGGTTTCATACATTAAAATAGCGTTAAAATGTAACGTTAAAATACATGTGCTAAGCGCGAGTCTCAGGACACTTGACAGTTTTTGTGTGAACCGGAGCATCTTCATTCTGATACAATGACTTTACCAATTGGTGAAAAGTAGGCAATTGGTTCATTGTAAAGACTGCAAGTGTGGGTATTAGGAAAGGCCCATTATAGTCTTACAGGAAATCATAATCATGTGAAATCATGATCATGTGTGGTTCATGTGAAATAGATACAATAGTAGGCCTGAAGTCCCATTCACACCAAGAGCGATAACTATAACGATAACTATAACAATAATAACCATATTAGCGTCCACACCAATAGACGATAATGTTCTGTTTATTATAAGCATGTGATGCAGTTACATTGTCTGTCACTTTAAAGGCTCGCTCGTTACATTCAGGGCGATTCTCATTGGCGATATTGAGATTGCAACATCATTCCTGTGTTGTTACGCTTATAGCTGTGGTGTGGACTTCCTTTTCTCATAGAATTAGAATGATTATTAAAACTTTGGTTATAGTTACCGTCCTTGGGAGTGAATGGGCCGAAAATTCCGTTCTGCTTATATGTAGTTCACTTGCTACAAAAACTTTTGCCGCAAACAAAACCAGTGATTAGTTCTTGCTCAAAAGTTATAATTTTATCAACCCCGGCATCTTGTAAATGTGATTTTGTTTCCAGGTGGACTGATTTAAAAAAAAAAAAAAAAAAAAAAAAAATGTGAGCCCTGAAATGAGGCAGACTATTTAGAGTCTTTCTCTAGACATTTGTAATGGCTGTGTTCCTGTTTTAAGGGTAAAAAGTGAGACATGCTGTCTTGTTAAAACTTGCCGTGGTTGTTGCTTCAATCCAAGTATGTTGCCTTTAAAGGCAATTCTACATGGACAAGAATGAACTTCCTGTATCTTCAGGATGCCAAGATAAGTGTCAGACTGCATTTTAGACTCTTAGAAAGTTTAATGCAGCTTGTTATGCGTTTTATTTTTTTTTAAGAATGTACTGCAGAAATTTAATTTTAACTTTAATACCATCTTTGTACCTAAAATGCTGTAAAATGTATTTTTAAGTGCCTTTTTCCAATGAACAAATTAAATGTCATGTTGTAAAATATTTTAAAAATGAGCACAAATGACTATAAACAATTAAAAATAAGCAAGCAATCTTTAATACATCATCTCAAAAACAAATAGTACAAGAATAGCATTTTTTCAAGCTCAACCAACAAACACGATTTAAAAAAGGAATCAAATGCAAGCTAAGTGCCTCCAAACCAGAAAAGGTCTATCCCATTGAAAACCTGTTCTTCCACTAACGGGAGACACGAATGGAATCAATAAACTGAGTTTGTACTACCTTTTCTAGATTTACACCAATTTTACAGCATTTGAAGATTCCTGATAATCATCACTTTGCTAATACAACTCATCCTCTTCATCGTCTGTAGCGGTATCGCTTAAAGTGGAACCACAGCTGAAAGATTCCATTGGCGAACTGGCAGCGGAAACCATGGCGATGGGAATATTCCCATTCACGGTTCACGATCTTAAATGCAATATCCTCATACGGTGGTCCGGCGTGGAAGCGCAACATTCCAAAGTCTTTGTTGTCAGGACAGGGCTCGAGGAAGTACTGCGGAGTCGAGCGCTTGTCGATGAGATCGGGGTAGAAGATGTTGAACTTGTAGCCCTGGACGATCTTGGGCGGCGGGTTGTCAAAGTCGTAATGCGTCTGGTTGTATTTGTTCCACTCGAAGCCGGTGTGGACACGGTTGAAGAAGCGGGGCTTGCGCGGGCGGTATTTGTCGGCCCACAGGTACATTTTTCCAGTCAAAGGCATCTCAACGCTGAACTGGGCCTCGTCGCCGCCCATGCCCTCTTTAGCGCGACGCACGAATGCATCTTCAGCGCTTTCATTTGCATCGCCTGTTCAAGAAAAAGACAATGAAAGTTAGCATTAGCATGAGTAAATCCTAACAGAAAGCAAATGTAGATTCTTGCTAAACTAGATTTGTGTTCCTAACAGTAAAGAAGATCTTTACGGTCACATACGGTTCAAGATCACTGCATTCTTCATTTCCAATTGTCTAACTGGCATGTTGATTAATTTTCTATAATTACAGGTCTATGAAACAACTCCACGGGTGTTGAGTCCACATCATTCAATTTGCCACATTTTTTCAGAACTTGGTTTCCATCCATGTATTTTTATGGGAATGTGGGATATTGCATAAAAACACTAGATGGAAACGGCAAGATGCGCATTCCAATAAGAAGACGTGCATAAACTACGATGAAAACTTCCTTGAAGATGTGATTTTGCCTCAACAGATCATGAGACTGGATAACTGGACTAACCAGTGGACCAATCACATTGTAGCCTACACCATCTCAAATATTGTTTTAGTCATTCTGAAATGCCTGACACAAAGTCTGTTATCAATTAATTTGGTATAACAGTCTTACATGATTGTGTTCCCAAACATCAGGCTTCACAAGATAACATGAAAGCATTTATTGCATTTCGTTGGGGCGCTCTGAGGTGCAACTGATTTATTTATTTATTATGGCTTTCCCATTTTATTATTTATACTTTCCCAGGAAGAGACAATTTTATTCTCTTGAGTACATGGGATGGAAAAAGTGCTTCATTCGCAAATGTTTTATGGGATATTCCAAGTTAAATTCACAACTTTGGATGGAAACCTGAAAATATCTTAAGTTAAACATGTTCTTCTGTAACCATCAGCCCATTAGAATGGAAGCCTTAAAGGGGTCATATGATGCGATTTCAAGTTTTCCTTTCTCTTTGGAGTGTTACAAGCTGTTCGTGAATAGATAAGATCCCTAAAGTTACAAAGACTAAAATCTCAAACCCAAAGAGATGTTCTTAATAAAAGTTAAGACTGGTCCACGCCCTCCTAAAACACCTCGTTTAAACACGCCCCCACATGTCTACGTCACGATGTGGGAAGATTTGCATAACGCCGCTTAAATGTTTACGCAAAGAAAGAAGGCATAACTTTTCTTCTTGCTGTACGTATTGTTGCTGCCGCTGTGTTTCGTTGCAAAAGCGAAACTACTTTGTTTGGCCTTCCAAAAGAGGACACGACTAGAAATCAGTGGTTAAGTTGTATTGTGTTCTGACTCGCAGCCTGCAAGTATGTTTTCATATTTAAAGAATTTGCCACTGATGATTCAAACACGAGTTTTCAGCAGTGTAGAGTAGCGCTTGTTGTTTGTCGTTTCTTTGATCACAAATGCAGACATGGTTTTATGTTTTCGCGGCGCGATACGCAACGCGTAAAAAGACAGTATAAGTCATTATAATCAGTAATTATGTCCCCAAGGAGAAACAATAATGTACAGTATGTGGAAAATAATGTGTTTTTTGAACCTTAAACCACATAAACACATTTCATTACACCAAATACACAAAATAATGTTATTTTTTAGCAACGTCATACGACCCCTTTAAAGGATGGGTTTTTAAAGTTGAATTTAATGCCTCCTTGAGTCAATTTCCTGTATTTCTGCTGTTTGTAACCCCCAAATTGTTAAAAAATGTTCTACATATTTTTCCATCCACAAACTCTTTTGCCCTTTAGGTGAATTTAAGTGCGTGCCTGAGTCTATTTCCTGCACTTTCATCCCCCTTTTTTACAGCAGGGCGATTTACAAAATGAAGGGAAGAAAAAAATGTAATGCGCCAGTGTTGAAATTACATGTTATTTTGCCTTTTCTGGGCACCCAGTATGCAGGAAAATTGTGAAAAAAACTTTTTTTGTTAAACAACGCAAAAAAAAAAAAGAGTAGGAAATAGAGTAGGTAAAAGGAAAAAAAAACATCTTTCTATACAATATCTATAAAAAGTTTCAAACAATGAAAGTGCACATTATTTTCAACTTTCAAATTTCATATCTGACCTTTTTTTCCTGCTGCACATCTAGTACTGAAATCTTAATGCATGTGGTGTGTGTAATTTCACTATGGTTCGTGAAGCAGCAGAGCGATACTCACCGGTCACCTGCAGCTGTGTCCGGGCCAGCACGAGTCTCTGCAGGTCCTCCTCCACGTTGATGATGTGCGTGTCCAGCGGTAACTCTGAGGGCTGCAGGAGGGTGGGACTGTAGCGGCCGGAGTCGTACTCTGCCTGACTCTGCTGGATCAGATCCTCCTCTGTTAACACGGCCTCCGGTGCTTCATCTTTCTCTCCCTCCTCCACCTCCCCTCCCTTCCTCTCCTCAGGACTGCTCCTTCCAGACCGCTCACCCTCTTCTCCATCCAGCCTCTTGGTCCGTCTGTCTTTATCGTCACCTTGCTGAGAGCTGCCCGCCACCTCATCTGCAGACTCAGCCGCTCTAGGGCTACTGGGAAACAAAATAGACAAATCTGTCATTGGGTATGCAATTAATTTCATTGAATTATTCAGTAATTTGTGATAAGATCATTTATAGAGAATTTATATATTATATGTAATTTATATAACATTTCTATATATTATATATTAGCATAATGCTTAGTGACAAGTACATATTGTATATGCATGCTATTTAAAAAAAATGCAAAATACAACCATTAACATTTTAAATTGTAGTAAACTACTTCATTACATGACTGCACTAAGTTGCATGTTTAAGGTTGTCCAATTAATTTAAATCTTAGAAATAGTGTAATTTAGCATTTATCAGCCATCTAAATTTGTCTAAAGACATTTATATTCAGAAGTCTAAATGTTAAGAAATGACACATTGGCTATGTTTGGAATGCAATTAATTTCACAGAATTTTCCAGTTGTTTGTGATTAAAGTTATTTTTTAATTTTTGAAAATTATTTTGTTGCATTTCAAGAATAACTTTAGTAATCAGAGATATTTAAAACTAGAAAAAAAATGTATTAATATTAAACAAAATATATTAATCAATCATATATTAATATTATGATTATATTAAAATGTCTGATATTTCCAGGCCAAATTATGTTAAAATTCCCGAATAGTTACAGGTTTTCTATCACCATGAAATCCCTTGAATATTAGTATATATATTGATAATACGTAGTATAGTATATACTGTATAATGCATATTAAAAAACTGTATAATGCATATTTTATAAAATGATATGTGAAACAGTATACAGAATGCAACAAACTTTTAAAATGTAGCATGCTACATAGTCACATGACCTCACTTGCATATTTTATTTAGCAGGCTGTGTTGTGTCAGCAGTTAATTACATTTCCATCTTGGAAATTTCAATGCAAATTTCTGTCTGAATGTTCAAGTAGAAGTGAAATCACTCACACGGGCCGCTCATTCCTGGGCTCGTCTTTGATGATGGGGAAAAGCGGTTCACTCTCCACACCCTGTTCCTGCTTGAGTTTATACAGCTTCTGCCGCAGGACGTCCTGATGCCGCTCTCTCAGCCTTCACAAACACACACAGACCCATAGGGTAAGACATCACTGAACTCTAAAAATCCCCAGAGGCCCTGTTACAGTTCTAGTCTGATACGCACCTGGCTCGTGCCATGTAGACCCGCACCTGCTGCAGGAGACTCTCCCAGTAGCCGACGTCCAGGTTGGAGCCTCCGGCCTGGATCTTATTCTCAATGTTCATATAAAGAGCCTGAAGCTGACTGTACGTCTTCCCTTTAAACACACTCTGCACGTCTGTGCTGACGGATGTGTTTATGCCCTCACGACGGTCACCTGACATGACACCAAAAACCGAGGTGAATGAGGGGTTGTGCAATGGACTTTCTTTAAATCTACTCAATTACAATGCATTTATAATATTCATATATGCCCTATAACGTTTTCACAGATTGCATATACATTTCATTTGCACTGTTTCACGAATTTACAGATTTTAAATTAGTTTATTAACTAACTAGTGGCCAATATATTAAAAACTGTAATAATAATAATAAAAAAACTATAATACATTAGTAAAAATATACACCACCATTTAAAAGTCTCTTTTGCTCAGCAAGGATGCATTTATTTGATCAAAAATACAGTAAAAACAGTAATATTGTGAAATATTATTACTATTTAAAATAACTGTTTTCTCTTTGAATATATTGTAAAATGTGATTTATTTCTGTGATGCAAAGCTGAATTTTCAGCATCATTACTCCAGTCTTCAGTGACACATGACTTTTCAGAAATCATTCTAATATGCTGATTTGATGCTCAATAAATATTTCATATGATTAGCATTGTTTAAAACAGTTGTTCAACTTAATATTTTTTGTGGAAACCAGGATACGTTTTTTTTTCAGGATCCTTTGATAAATAGAAATTTCAAAAGAACATTTATTTGAAATCTTTTGTAACATCTTTAAGCAATTTAATGCATCCATTCTTACAAAAAAATTATTAATTTCTTTAAAAAAAATTTTTTTTTTAAAAACTGACCCCCAAATTTTTTTAACAACACTATGTATAATCTTGAAAGATTATAATTATAATTCAATGATAGCATAACTTGAAATGACTGAAATTGAGTAAACATTTATTTTACAAAACATTTCCTATGAAATGATTCAACTGTAAACTATCCAGGGAGTAAATGTAATCGTGCAGGTCATCACATCACCTGGTCCTCTGCCTGACGCCTCTAGTTTGCGCAGTTTGCTGATCTCGTCTTCAGTAATGGTGGTCATGTCCCTCCAGAAATCCACGTTCTTGCCCTGTTCCAGCTCCATGTACACCTGCAGCCAGTAACAGCTGTTAAAACACACTAAAACACCAAAACCATCACAGAACCTGTGTAAGAATTATTGTTACTTTACATTTTAATTCTACTTTGTGTAAAAAGTGTTCAAATGATTTTTGATCTCTCTCTCATCACACACCTTGATGTCCTCCAGCAGGTCGTCCATGTCTGTGGCGGTGAGTCCGTTGAGGAAGGTGTACGGTTCATGCATCTCCACCGACAGATCATCGTCTTCAGCGCTGATGTATTTAGCCAGCAGGTCGATGGGCTTTGCTCGGCCGTCACGGATACGGATCTTAGACCTACATCGCAGAAACACATTAACAACATTTTTAAGGTTTTTTTTTATTTTAAAGCTGATTTTAGAAATGATAAACTTGATACATAACCAAAAAAAAAAGTTTTTCAACTATATATCATGTTTTTGAATCTTTAAGTGTATATTATCTTTTCTGTAGTAATTCTTAATTCAATTCCAAAATCAAAATCCTCTTAAAAATTCCCCATTCTATAATGTTTCAGTGTTCATAAATACTAATGACTATTAAAACAATTTTAAAATATTATCACTTTAGTTTATGGTGCCTCCTGTCAGGTTAACTAAAAATACTTGATACATAAAAAAAAATAAAAAATAAAAAAAAGGTAAACTACAGGAGCACTGTAAACAAAAATAATAATATTTCAAATTTGTTTCACTAGTCATTAACAACATTTTTAAGGTTTTTATTTTATTTTGAAACTGATTTTAGAAATTATAAACTTGATACATAACCAAAAAAAATTTTTTCCAACTATATATATCATGTTTTTGAATCTTTAAGTGTATATTATCTATCTGTAGTAATTCTTAATTAAATTCCAAACCCTCCCGCCCCCCATTATTCAAAAATGTTTGGTACCTTTTGTAGTTCCCTGCGGTTTTCCTGCTGGATATGTTTATTTCTCTCCTTCAGATTTTTATCTCTCTCTCATCACACACCTTGATGTCCTCCAGCAGGTCGTCCATGTCTGTGGCGGTGAGTCCGTTGAGGAAGGTGTACGGTTCATGCATCTCCACCGACAGATCATCGTCTTCAGCGCTGATGTATTTAGCCAGCAGGTCGATGGGCTTTGCTCGGCCGTCACGGATACGGATCTTAGACCTACATCGCAGAAACACGTTACAAATGGGTCCGTTCACAGATGTATGTATAAAAACACTACACGTCTGAAGAGCGTGACCTCAGTTTGGCCTGCTGCAGGTGAAAGTTGTCCTCCTGTTCCGCCCATGTTTTGAAATGTTCGGCCTCTTTCTCTCTCTGCAGCATCTCCAGCTCCTGCTCGCGAACAGTAAGTGAAGTTTATTTCTGTTAACACGAGTCCTAACCAGACTTTGCGATGCAACATCACTGCAATATCAACACATATTTGAACTCTGCTATCCGAAACATCTCTCTGACCTTCTGCCATTTGAACGTGCCGAGCAGGTTGTTATCTCCAAACGGGTTGTCGGCGTTGGTGTAGCCCATGTACTCTTCACTCCAGCCCATCTTCTCCCTCTTCTTCCTCTCTTTGGCCTCTTTCTTGGCCAGACGTCTGGCTCTCTTCTCCTCCGGGGTCTCCAGCGCCTTCATCATATCCCTCTGTTTCTTCTTGTCCTCTTTGGCGGAGGAGGTTCCCTGTGTCGTCTTCTCTCCCTGATCAGAATCAGCGGAGGAGCTCGAGGAACTCGAGGATCTGGATTCAGAGCGTCTACGTCTGTCTCGATCCCTCTCTTTGCTCTTTCTCCTCCTTCCCTCTTGGTCTTTCTCCCTCGGTCTCTCCCGGCTGAGGCTCCTGCTCTGTCGTCTCCTCCACTCTCTCTCGCTGCTCCTGCCATCTCTGGCTCGGTTTCGCTCCACGCTGGCCTCTGAGCTGGAACTCCTCCTCCTGCTGCTCTTTTCATCCTTGTGTTTCTTCTTCGTCTTATGTTTCTTCTGATTATTGTCATTATCACCTGAAGAGCTTAAACAATAAAGAAATGGAAAAAAAGTTATGTTTACAATCTTTCAGTGTTGGGTGGTTATCATGATGCCGACTCAACATCGTGATGTCTGTCATGGCATGGTCTTAAAAGTACTATATAACATTTGGGCACTTATATTAATATAAAAACCTTTAGATTTTTTGTTTGTTTGTTTGTTTATTGTCACTATAGCACTACACTGTTAAATGTATTGTTGATTTGTTTGTTTACGTGGTTATTTTAATATTATTTTGAATATTTGTATTTAACTAATTATTCGTTCATTTCAATCTTATTTATTTATTTATTCAATCATACATACATATATTTTGTCACTGTTTTTCTCTAAACTTTTCCACGGACCCCCTCCTATTATAAAAACTGACATACCTACAGGATTGTTTAATTTTTGTTTATTATGGTTTTCAGTACCTGTCTCCGTCTTTCGATCTTCCGTGTGATCGTGCTCTTCTGTCTCTGTGATCGCGGTCAGAGTCGCTGGAGTGGCCGGACTCGCCCCCTCGGTGTCGGCTCGGGCCTGCACAACCTCCGCTGCTCCTGGAGCCTCCGCTGTCAGACCGCCCTCGTCTGCGGGAACCTTTCACGGGAGAGCGGTTCCGAGCATGTCTGTCATATCTACGGGATCTTTCTCCAGAGCGGGACCGCGATCGGCTCCTACGATGCCTCTTCGATTCCATGTTTTCAGGTCCTGACGGCGCCGCGTCGCGTAAATATGTAGTTTACAATGTTTGTAACAATAATGTCTCTCAAATCAATTCTGTGATAATCCTTAGGCTGAAACGATAGGACTTTATATTGAGAAAATGCTCTGTTTGATTAGTAACCGAGCTTTACACAAATATTCGTATAATTTCTAGCAGGCGGTATAAAGGGCTTCTTCTTCTTCTTCTTTCCAGTTTAACGGCGGTTGGCATCCAGCTTATTGGCGCATTACCGCCCCCTTCTGCTCCGGAGTGTGGATCAGATAGGTTATCTATTCCCTTTTCTACGGTGTACAAGAAGTGCTAAACAAATCACAATTCTGAAAACAAAATAACAAATTGCAAATGCAAGTCTAAAAAACAAAATAACAATTCAGAAAGCACAACAACAATTCAGAAAACATTATAAGTCAGAAAACACAATTATTATTATAATAATTTTTTATTCCATAGTAAGGGCAATTCATACAATACATTTAAACTGAGCTACTTTAATACCATCTCCGAACTTTCTACCACGACTCTGCTGTTCTTCGGCTGGTTCTTCCTGCATACGTTGATTGACAGATGCCACGTCCAGTCAGCGGTGAGTAATCCCAAACCAATGGCGCTGTCTCAAACTATACCTACCTCTTCCCTTTTGTCTGATTTGTCGTTGTGTTTTCTGACTCGTTAATTTGTTTTCGGATTTGTCGTTGTGTTTTCTGACTTATTTTGTTTTCGAATTTGTCATTGTGTTTTCTGACTAGTTATAATGTTTTCAGAATTGTGATTTGCTTTGCACTTCACGGCCACCGTAACTACTTTTTGAAGAGATTACTGTAATACTGTTTTTTCCCCATGGAAAAAAAAGGTAAATTGAACATACTAGACTAGGGTGTAATCAACTGAATTTACAATTATTATTAATATTATTATTATTATTCACCAAAGGTATTATTTACTTATTTAAATATATGTAAATATGTTTGTTTGTCTATATAGAACCTAGTTGTTTCTGTTCATTTATCTTTATTTATTATTTGCAAGTGGCTGCTAACTTTATTTATTATGTTGCACAATAGCAGTGAAGGTCTTGCTAATAACATTACACATTATTCCTCATACAGGTACATGCTTGATCCAAATCTAAATAAATAACACATAAATCTGGAAAGCATCACATCAATAACATAGGTTCGGGTTCTACTGAGATTACTTCATCAGGTTCTACTCCACTAGGACAATTAGTAGATAAATTGTCAGTATGTTACATTTATTATCCTGTCTTATGAATACTATTTGTATAAGGTTGGTTGCAGGCTGCAGAATGCTATACTTATAAGGTAGGTTGCAGAGAATTGCAACTCTTGATAGATCATATCAACATCTGTGAACTGTGAAACTTAAAAGAAGATCTGAGAATATTTTACACTTCCTTCTTTCTAGTAAAGATAGATTTCTCTTTCACACATACAACCCTAAAATAGAGGTTATGGTTTTATGTTAGAAAATAGGTTATCTATTCCCTTTTCCCCCTAAAACTTACACATCACTCACATTGTCCCCTCACATTAATATCCACACACACATCATACATCAAATCCTGCTTAAAACCCCTGCTTCCCTTAAAAAAGTAATCAATATTCTACTCTGTGCCCTATTTACTGTGCTTAGTAACCCTTGTAATGTGATCTCCTGCACCCCAAGCTCCCTTAGTTTATTCTTCATTACCTGCCTCTGTGTTTCATATCTCTTACAAGTCATGATTATGTGCTCCACTGACTCCTCTTCTCGACATCCCTCACACAACCCTGTCTCGTGCTTCCCTATCATCTTTAGTGTTTTATTCAGTGAACAATGTCCCAACCTTAACCTAGTCATCACCGCATCTTCTCTCCTATTTCCAACCTTTCCTCTTTAACATTTCTCTGAATTTGATATAAATGCCTCCCTTTCTCCTCTCTTTCCCACCTCTCTTGCCACCTTATATTGACTTTCTCCCATATTATCTGAATAAAAGTATTCTAAAAGTTGCTTTAAAAAAAAAAAAGAAAAAAAGAAGAAGAAAAAAAAAAAGAAATTTACTGACCCCAAACCTTTTTTTTGTGGAATAGTTGTGTAGGCTATATTTAACACATTATATTTATTTTGAATAAATACTGTTCTTTTTAACTTTTTATTTATCAAAGAATCCTGAAAAAATATCACAGGTCCCAAAAAATATTAAACAACACAACTGCTTCCAACATTGATTATAAATCAGCATATTACAATGATTTGTGAAGGATCATGTGACACTAAAATCTGGAATAATGATGCTGAATATTCAG